TCAGTTAAAATTTAATTCAGCCAATTTGTATTGGATACGTAACCAAAATAAATGTACTATGTAACACACTTCTTGACTTTTAATAATAGTGTTTTATTTTGACAAACAAAAGGGGGTCCAAGAATTTTGGCGTGTACAATATAATAATGTTTTTCATGTTGAAGATGGTTTTTGTTAAAAACACCATGTAATAGTAAAATTTTTTATTTAACTTATGTAATAAAATATGAGAGTATTAGCTCGAATAAGCTTTATTAATATAGCTCTACAATCTTATTTCAAATATTACTTATGTCAAACTTGACAATACTGTCCAAATCTCATCAAAATCAATCATACAGGATGATCTTCTACATCTAACCCCTCCCTCATGAAGTCATCACTCCTGGGATGATATTTTCTTAAATTAGAAACATGCACAGATTCCTCTATGCCTTCATTGAAGTAATTCACCGATGACACTATTCCATTAAAGGTTTTAACTTTAGTAACTTCAAAAGGTCCCTTGACAACAAATTCTTTCCCAATTTTTTGATGCCTTGTTAAAATATGATCTCCAATTCTTAAATTTGGCGGTTTAAGTTTTTTGTTTTTGTTTGCTTGTTGTTGTGTGTATTTTTTATATTTATCTTGTTCTTCTTTAGATTTGGGAAGTTCCTTTATCTCTATATCCAGTCCTAAAGATTTATCTGCTAGTAACATAGGTGCCTTTCCAAACAGTTTAAAATTTGGCGAGCAGCCTAAATACTCATTATGTGAATAATTATGGTGCTGTATCGCTGCTTCTAATCCCTTTTTCCAGCCACCAGTGAGTTCAGGGTAGCATTTTAAGTAAGTTTTTACGTCCCTTATGGCTCGTTCGGCAATACCATTACTCCTTGGATGATAAGGACTAGTGTGAATTAACTTTATATTCTTACTTATTGCAAAATTTCGAAATTCTTCAGATTTAAAAGCTTTTCCACAATCTGAAACGATGTTCTTTATTTGGTGAATATAAGGAATTTTATTTAAATAATCTATAAGGGCTCTGCTACTCTCTTTTAATGATTTGCCAAAAACATATCGTGAAGCTTCATCTATAACAATAACAAACGATTTTGTGGTTTGATTTAAATCCGACTTTTTACTCACTTCCCCAAAGTCAATATGTACAGTTTCAAATGGAATTTCAGAACATTGTGAGATGTGTATAAAATCTGGTTTAGGTAAATATTTGAATTTATTAATTTGACATATTCGACAAGTTTTCACATACTCTCTTATCTGCTTTGCCATAGAATTCCAGAAAAATCTCCTTTTTAACTTATAGTATGTCTTATAATAACCGTCATGCCCACCTGAGATCGGATCATCGTGATACATCATTAATATTTCTTTTACCATTCTAGGAGACTTTACTAAATACCTGCCATCTTCTAACTTTTCTAGATCTTCCACCATTAAATTACACCAAAAGGAATCATTTGTTTCATTCGGCATATCAATACATAACCTTGAAATCGCATCACTATCTTTTAATTCTTGGCCACTCTTATGATTTACCTCCATGTCAAAACTCGATAAAAATAATTGCCATCTTGCCAAACGGTCTCTAAGATTTGCGCTGCTTAGAAGTTGAGTTAAAGCTCGGTGATCAGTATGAACAACAAAGTGTTTATTTTCTAAATATATTCTAAAATGTTTGACCGCCTTGACCACTCCTAGACACTCTTTTTCTGTAACTGAATAGTTTAGCTCACTTTTAGAAAAGGTACATGAGTAGTAGCTTATAACTCGGAGTTGTCTATTTTTAGTCTCGTTCTCATCTCTTTGATATAGGATAGCCCCACACCCATAGTATGACGCATCTGTAGCTAGTTCGTATTTTAATTTTGGATCTGGTAATCGAAGAATCGGTTCTGAAGTAATAATTGTTTTTAAATTTTGGAATGCTTCTTCACATTTTTCACTCCAAATAAATTTTTTATTTTTTGATTTGAGTTCTTCTAACGGTTTGGCAATCTTACTATAATCCTTAATGAAACTTCTAAAATGATTAGTAAGACCAGTGAAACACTGTAAAGATTTTAAATCAGTTGGTTTCTTCATATTTTGTACCTTTTCTACAGTTTCTTTTTTCATTCTTTTTATATTACCATCTATTTCTCTTCCTAAAAATATAACTTTTCTTACACAAAATATGCATTTTTTCAAATTTATTTTAAAATTGTTGTCATTCAATCTCTTTAAAATTCCAAGAGTGTTTGCCTGACACTCGTCTGAATCGGATCCTCCTAATACTTCTTGCATTATACTCTGGAATCTAGCGCTTGAATTTTTCCATCCAAAAGGTAATCTTTTAAATTCAAAATTCCCTTCTTCAGTTATAAAAGCTGTGTATTTCCTAGTATGTTCCGAAAGGATAATATTCCAAAATCCATCTTTTAAATCTATTTTAGAAAAATATTTACATCCGCCGAAAGTTTCGATAATATCATCAATCATGGGAAACGGGAAAGGATCTAGGTGTGTTTCTTCGTTAATTTTCCTATAGTCTATGCAAAATCTATAAGTCCCATCAGCCTTCATCTGAAGTACACAAGGTGAGGCATACGGAGAATCAGATTTTGTAATAATGTCTCTTTCAATTAATTCTTTAATTTTTTCTTTAATCCAGTTCTTCTTTTCTATAGAATGTCTATATGGCTTTAATCTTACAATTTTTGCACATTCTTTTAAATCGAAATTTGTACTATAATTACTGGGGTTACTATCATTATAATTTAAAACATTTGGGAATGATTTTCTTATAATCTCTTCAGATATAAGATGTTTTACTTTATTATGAAAAATTTCCAAATTATTTAGGGTTTTTCGACCTATTATCATGTCAAATAACATATCTTCAACAATAACAGGATTTATTTCTTTTTCGTTCCCTTTTATATTTATCTGGATTCTTGACTCATAAGAGCATCTTGTTATTCCCGCTAGACTTCTGATGCTGACATTTTTCTTAAATTTTGGAAATTTATACCTATCAACTACTTTTTCATTAATTATATCTAGTTCTGAACCAGTGTCTAACAAAGCCTTTAGTTTTATATCATATACTAATACAGGTACAACATTTTCATTATTTTCTATTGAAATATTAAAATTGTAAGAAAAATTCGAATAATTTTCAAAATACTGTATTTCTTTCTCATCAATATCATTGTTAACTATTTCATTGTAGTAGTTTCTAGAAAAATTGTCCTTCAAACCTGCTCCATGTACCTCATCTTCTGTTCTTCTATTAGTGTCCCTTTTTTCTACTGGCTTCCACGTGTGATTCTTTTTGAAATGTGTTTGAGTATTCTTTGGCAACCCGTTCTCCTGATAACCTGGAGCACTGCAGAATTTCTCAATCTTTAAATATTTTAAATTTTGTAGTAACTCCTGCTTCGAATTAATTTCTTTACCACCGAGCTGCCTTTGCATGGTTGTAGGAAGTCCCAAAATAACTAAAGCTATCAAAGATCTTTCAGAAATGGTATCATCTGCCCATTTAAGTAACCTTTGCTTTTCGAAAAAATATTCTAATATATTTCCATAATGATATTTTAATGCCAATGCCTTTTCCCATTTAACAATGTAATTTTCATCGAATGTTTCGATGAACTCCTCCTTCCATTCCTCCCACTGAAACTCATTCATTGCTGTGATCTGAACCTTCTCTTCATACCAACTTAGTGCTACGCCTGTTAGTTGACCTCTAAGGTGGAAGATCTTCTCAGCTGTTGAATTCCATTCATTCGAAAGACATGCAAACTCATATGAGTTCATCCAGGCCAGTGGATTCTCGCCCAAACCATCAAACATCGGTATTTTCACCATCTCCGGTCTAGTTTTTATTGACAGCCACTTCGACATCATTTTGTCTAGTTCGTTCTTTCCAAAAATTATGTTCTGGTCTTTTTCTTTTTCACCTGCGGTCTCCTCATAGTCGATTCGGATAATGTTTTCACTTGACTGCGCCATTGTAATAAAATATGAGAGTATTAGCTCGAATAAGCTTTATTAATATAGCTCTACAATAGGGGCGTTTGATTTGAAACTCGATCGAGCGAGCGTCGAGGAGACCGAGAAGTGATGACGTCACAATAGAGCATTGAATCAAATCAAATAAAACAGAGTAAAAAACATAACCTCGCTTTTCTGTGATTCTTGTTTCTGGTTTGTATGTTAAAATAGTGAGCAAAAAGTAAAGAAAATGGAAAAACTTTTAATAATAAGGGGTAATGGCCCTGAAATGCAGCATTTACCACAAATACCCGCTTCGCTCTCATACTCCATGACTGTGATTACTGGTGATTAGATCTGGACAGAAAAAATGTATTTTCCAAACACACATTTTGTGTTTTTTTATGATGAATAATTTTAGCTATAAGACAAAAGCGGCTAAGTAATTTGTTGACTTCTTGTCTGGTCTTTAATTTTGAGATTCAAATTTGTTTGTAAGTTAATTAAAAAGAGATAGGTAGAGACAAAGACAAATTTCTCCCTCTTCTCGATCTTTCTGCTCTGAGAACATCGAGCTTGCTCTATGTTCTCGCTCCAAAGCGAAACAAACACTTTAGGGATCTCTCGGAGTGTCAATTCAAACACTTTTGAAGCGCTCGGAGATCTCCGATGATCAAATCAAACGCACCACTTATTTCAAATATTACTTATGTCAAACTTGACAATACTGTCCAAATCTCATCAAAATCAATCATACAGGATGATCTTCTACAACTTAACTATGAATTCTTATGTTATGTTGATTGTTATTGTCGATAAAATATTACTCACGTCAAGACTTTCATTTTATTAAAATTATAGTAGAACTTACTTTTGAAACATTTCAATAATTTATTTTGCTCAGTAATTTATTATTAAATAAATAATTTAGGAGCTACCCACGACACCAACAAAGCGAGTTGGATTATAATAAACATGAACTTGCGATATTCGATCATTTTTGGCAAGTTCGTCGGTGAAATAACATTTTCCGCCAGTCGAATTTTATTTAAAATATGCATCGTATTAACCTTCGTATCCCCTTGGAAAAATCGCGGCGCGACTATCGCTAATTACTATGTAACATTGTTATCAATAAAGAATAAACTGCCGATATTTCGATAAAAACATCGATATGAATCTGAACACTTTATACACTAACGAATTATTACAATTTAGGCAAATAAGCTGTAACTGTAATAGTCAATTAAGTCGAACCGATGGGATCAATTTAATTCATTTTTTTCTATGACAGCCAACGGTTCGGATGTGGGTAATTCTAATTCTACACCATGAGTGACGCCAAAAAATTTAATATCGACGAAAAGTTCACGTTGGAGAAAAATGAACTGTATTCCTTGCTCAGTATTAACAACAAAGGTATGTACGATTTTTATTAGTAATTTAATTTAAATGTTCTGTTAAAAACCTATATTTTTTGGTATTATTTTATTATGTTGTGCAAATATGAGCAAAACGGAATTTTCAAAAAAATTAACTGCATACGTTAACTATTTATATTTATAACTAACAGTTCTAAAAATAGCAAAATGCTTTAGTATTGTAAAAATTTATTATTTTATTTCTATTGGAAAACAATTATTTCGTTCATATAGTTTTTACTGCCTGGAAAATAACTGAAAATGGGCATCCAACTGCTCTAATGTGATCTAATGCTTCAAAATTAATCTAACATAAATAAACTTTATTAACAACGTTGTATTACAACCGGTTTCGGCCTTAGGCTATCATCAGGTCTACAAGTGAGAAAAGAAAAACATGTGTTATACAAGTAGAAAGCAGTGGCGTAGCCAGCCTTGTGGGGCGTGGGGGTCAAACATTTAAAAGGGCGCTTTAAATAAAATTTATATTATTTAAAAAAATACAGACAAAAATCACTGTCGCTTTCATGAATAAAAATATATATATATATAATACTAAATACTTTAGTTATACCTTATAATACTAAATGCTTTTACAAAATAATTCTTCTACTCCTTATGGTCTTAAATTTGTCTATTAAAGATTGCAAATCAATATTAGACGCACTCAGTAATGCTATTTTTATCAATCTGTCCTCAATCATGGTCGACCTATTATAAGTTTTAATGTTTCTTAGTCTATTAAAAGATCTTTCGCCTGTTACAGTAACAATTGTTGAAAAATTTGGTATTTTTTATTCATGAATTAGGAAAAACTGATTCCAATTTTTTGGAAATTAAAAGAAAGGGTATATGTCTTTAGTTTTTTAATTATATTCCTTATTTATTTCTGTTAATAGACTACAATACGATTTGTATTCGTTAACTATTTCCGGTTGGATAGAAGAATACATTTTCAATCTATTTAAATGGCAGGGTAGAGTGATTTCCCAAGTAACACAAAAAGTTATACAAGGGTTATACCGACGTTACAAATGGATATAAAAACTTTGTTAAGAGTTATGTCATGATATAATTTGGTGTGTGTGTGTGTGTGTGTGTGTGTGTGTGTGTGTGTGTGTGTGTGTGTGTGTGTGTGTGTGTGTGTGTGTGTGTGTGTGTGTGTGTGTGTGTGTGTGTGTGTGTGTGTGTGTGTGTGTGTGTGTGTGTGTGTGTGTGTGTGTGTGTGTGTGTGTGTGTGTGTGTGTGTGTGTGTGTGTGTGTGTGTGTGTGTGTGTGTGTGTGTGTGTGTGTGTGTGTGTGTGTGTGTGTGTGTGTGTGTGTGTGTGTGTGTGTGTGTGTGTGTGTGTGTGTGTGTGTGTGTGTGTGTGTGTGTGTGTGTGTGTGTGTGTGTGTGTGTGTGTGTGTGTGTGTGTGTGTGTGTGTGTGTGTGTGTGTGTGTGTGTGTGTGTGTGTGTGTGTGTGTGTGTGTGTGTGTGTGTGTGTGTGTGTGTGTGTGTGTGTGTGTGTGTGTGTGTGTGTGTGTGTGTGTGTGTGTGTGTGTGTGTGTGTGTGTGTGTGTGTGTGTGTGTGTGTGTGTGTGTGTGTGTGTGTGTGTGTGTGTGTGTGTGTGTGTGTGTGTGTGTGTGTGTGTGTGTGTGTGTGTGTGTGTGTGTGTGTGTGTGTGTGTGTGTGTGTGTGTGTGTGTGTGTGTGTGTGTGTGTGTGTGTGTGTGTGTGTGTGTGTGTGTGTGTGTGTGTGTGTGTGTGTGTGTGTGTGTGTGTGTGTGTGTGTGTGTGTGTGTGTGTGTGTGTGTGTGTGTGTGTGTGTGTGTGTGTGTGTGTGTGTGTGTGTGTGTGTGTGTGTGTGTGTGTGTGTGTGTGTGTGTGTGTGTGTGTGTGTGTGTGTGTGTGTGTGTGTGTGTGTGTGTGTGTGTGTGTGTGTGTGTGTGTGTGTGTGTGTGTGTGTGTGTGTGTGTGTGTGTGTGTGTGTGTGTGTGTGTGTGTGTGTGTGTGTGTGTGTGTGTGTGTGTGTGTGTGTGTGTGTGTGTGTGTGTGTGTGTGTGTGTGTGTGTGTGTGTGTGTGTGTGTGTGTGTGTGTGTGTGTGTGTGTGTGTGTGTGTGTGTGTGTGTGTGTGTGTGTGTGTGTGTGTGTGTGTGTGTGTGTGTGTGTGTGTGTGTGTGTGTGTGTGTGTGTGTGTGTGTGTGTGTGTGTGTGTGTGTGTGTGTGTGTGTGTGTGTGTGTGTGTGTGTGTCTGTATAACGCATAACTCATGAACCGATACACAGAAAAACACCAAATTTTAAACTTAAGCTTTGTTTCAGCGTCCAATGAGCTGATTAAATTTTGGGCAGAGTCGGAACATGTGGGGGGGTACTTTATGAGTGGTCATTTTTATATTTTATGAAATATATCTGTTATTTACGTTTGGAGAAGAAAATTCTTCAAATAAAAGTTACTTCTAATATAATTATCTATAATTTTTGTGTTATGCAAAATTTTCCTAAAATGGTCCGTATTCGAGAAATTCGACCAAATGTACAAAAAATAATTTTTTATAAAAATTGTTTCCCATAATTAAAGATCAAAATTGCAGATATAAGAGTCTTACATATATAGGAGCTCCTAGTGAAAAGGTATCATCATATTTTAAAAAACCAAAATATTAACGTAGCTTTTAAAACCAATAATACGCTTGGGAAGTATATCAAAAACAATAAGGGTAAAATTAATCCTAATAATAAATCGGGGATATATAAATTAAATTGTGGTAGTTGTCCAAAATTGTATATTGGTCAAACAGGCCGTACTTTCAAAAAACGCTATTACGAACATTATAATAGCTATACAAAAAACAAAAATAATTCTACTTACTCAAATCATATTTTAGCTGAAAATCATTCTTTTACAGACAACTTTGAAATTTTACATATAGAAAATAAGAGCCTTAAATTAAACCATTTAGAAACACTTGAAATAAATAGATTTTAAAATTCAGATAACTTACTAAATGATCAATTAGATATTAATAATTCAACCCATATTAAATCTCTTTCCTAGTTTTCTGTGAGATAATCCCGGTAATGTGCTATCTTATTGTTATCTGATTGATATTATAATTACCTAAGTACCCTTATTTACTTTAAATAGTTAGTTTATTTTGTAATGTTATTGATGTTTTTCTTAAGTACTTTGTTTTGTTAAATTATTTCGTATATATATTGGATACCGAATTGTAAATTAGTCACATTTGAAAAAGAAGTTGTACTTCGAAACATATGTCATGTTAGTGTTTTTAAAATTTTTTATATTTTTAAAATAAAAGTGTGAAAATCTACCAAATTTGGTTTTACTCTTTCAAGATTAAATGGATTTTCATCAAGTAAAGGCCGAAACAATAAATAATTTCAAATAATTTTGTTTGATTTATCAGTATAAGATTTTTATTATACTCGCCATTGTACTCATATATCACGATCTGGGGTAATCAACAGCCTCTATAGGGGCTTTATATTCTAAGCAATTACCAACACACTGTTTACCCCTATAGAACAGGCGCTAAAAGTCACGAGTATTGTGGAGCAATACTTGTTGACTAGGAATAGTTTTCTTTAAAAATAATTTTTGTTCAAAACAATTTTCTATTTATCTAACTATATTTTCAGTTTTTATCCCTTTTCAATTTATTTGTTAATTTCATTTTATCACATGATATTTCTTGCAACTCTTTTGCCCTAGTTGCCCATTAACTTTTAAATTTACTCATTTTTTGGAGGCGTCTCAGTATATTCTTTTGTACACTTGTATAATACCTGTTTTCCTTCTCTCACTTGTAAATCTGATGATGGCCTTAAAACGAAACCGGTTGTCATATCTTTCTTAATAAAATTTATTTATGTGGAACTAATTTTACATGACAACTATTATTTTCCAAAACTGTCACTGTCACTTTTACATGATATTTATACAGGGTGATCGACTTATACTCCGGAGTTTGATATCTACGTTGTTTTAAGGGATACGAACAAAAGTTTTAAATACAAATTATAGATAGAATCCAACTCCACATTTTAAAACTATTTCGTAATATACAGGATGTTCCAAAAAGTCACAGCAATTTAAAATTATGTTTTTTCTCCATTTTAGCAATACACGGTTTTATTAGGTTCTACAGGGTAGTTTTAAAGAAATGATCCCTTTTATGTGAAAATCTTAATGAAATCGTCACTCTATATTATTTAGAATCAACAATTGAGGGTTATTATCTCAAGGCCAGAATAATTTCGTAGTAGTCTAGTTTTTTTGATCTTTCATTTTGTATACAGGGTAACCCAAAACTCACGACCATGATTTTCTCGGGTATTTCAATTGGAAAACCTCGTATCTTATATCATTTTCATAAACTACTTTCAAAATACTTTTACTTTTCCCTATACCTAAATGTTACAGTCGTAGAGTTTCTTCGATTTTTACTAATAAAACGATATTTTTGGCAAATACTGAAAGTTTCTTATAGTAGGCCATGACTGCCGTATTTGACAGAAGTTATTGAGTAATGTTATGTATGTCAACTAATTGTCAATTAATATTTGAGTTTTGATTCGGTTCTTCTTGTTGTTTGTGTATACAATTGGAATTGGCGAATGATGAATTTTTCCAATGAGGAATTAGTCGATATGATCTGGATACTAGGAGAATGGCATAAAATTGGCAGTAAAGGTGTATCATGAAAGATTCCAAGAGCACCGATTACCTGAAAAAAAAAAAAATTTCGAGAAAGTCATGGATAGATTTAATCAACAGTTCACCGATTACCTGAAAAAAAAAAAAATTTCGAGAAAGTCATGGATAGATTTAATCAACAGTTAATGTAGTGTATGAAAAAAGGAAAAAACGAAAACCGTTATTACTGAGGAACATAAACTCAATGTATTATTAGCAGTTACGGATAATCCAAATACAAGTATACAGAGTAATTTCCAGGGAACAAGAAATATGCTATGAAAGTGTGCAAAAAAT